TCATAGGGAGGCACATTGTTTTCCATTTTATCAGATGAACACCTATTAGAGAGAAGGTTGCTGCCAAGATCATCCATACTCCTCAATGTGATCTACTTGCAGATATCTTTAGTAAAGCTGTCGAACGGGATAGATTGCAAGATATTACAAGCAAGTTGGGCATGATTGATATCTATGCACTAGCTTGAGGGGGAGTGTTGGAAATAATTAAATATTGTTGTATTTGATGAGTATAAAGGAGAGGAACGTTGAAGAAGAAGGTGGTTCGATAAGAAGGTGGTTTCGATAATCTTAGACCCAACGAAATAATCTTAGACCCAACAATATTCATCTTAGCATACTTCAAAACTCGAGAACGAATTTTCTCCAGCCTAGGGAGTGTGATGCAAGATAGGATAACCCCTATTTCTAGTTTTTGTTGGGTTAAGTTTAGTGATATATATTTTGGAATTTTTAAGGTTTATTTTAGGTTTTATTAAACTTTTCAGTGACTTTAGGGGTTTTTTTTTTCTTCTTTTTTTTTGTATTTTAATTTCTAAGTATTTTACTTGCTGCTTGAAAAGTAGTTAAGTATTCGTATAGAATTATCTATTTTATCAGTAGTAAAAATGTCATTAGGAGTATTGGTCTAATTATTCTAATTCAATTAGAATCAGGACTTCTTGGGTCCTAAGTTAGGTCTTTTATTATGAATGGGTCTTGTATATATCTTTCAGAGTTAAATGTTATTTGTTTAAAGTCTTGGTTTCATCTGATAGCTAGCTGCCTGAATTTTAAGTTTCTCCTTATTTCAATCAATTCATTAAATCTTTGATTTCTTTACTCCTGTGGTTTCTCTTTCCAATGCATTAGCTCATGGTCCTTGAGCTCTATCATCTCAAAACAGATGGGCTTATGTCTCTTTGGAAGAAGGGTAGTTTTGAGAATTATTAGAGTATGACATATGGTGGGTTTGGGTAACAGTCTGAAAAGGGCCCCTAGGATTTCTTCTTCCCACTTGGATGACATGGGGAACCGATCGAGTTTGATAAAACTGTTTCCATGGTTGAACCCAGTGTATAGAGAACCTTTGAGGGAAAGGTCAATAAGGTTGTTCTGTAACATGAAGTCGGAGATACCAACAATGCTGGCCATGATGCAAGTTTCCCTATTACATTTCAGAATTCTTTAGGTAACATTAAAGCTGCAATTGATGCAGCAAGGGTGGGGTGGGAGATTGGACTTTATGTTTGGGTTATGCCCATATTCTCTGTATGACATTTGGTCTGTTTGGGAGATGGGGATCAGTGAACTTCCATTAGAAGTTGTTATAGACCCTCAAATTGGGGTTTTAAGAAATACATTAGATACCAGACAACCCAAATACCTCTTAATGGCTGCCTGTGCCGGGAGGGCTGCTTAGGAGCAGGCGCGCGGCATCAAATCAGTTTTACCAAAGGTAGCTTTGGGCAGTCCGACTTTGTTTCTGCAGTGGTTAAATTCTTAGTAGTATGAGGTATTTGTTGGAGATGTGAAGAACATAATTCTGTGGAATCGCTCAAGCCCTGTGCACTACAAACAAGAACTTCCATTGAGGATGGGCGTGTTGGGGCATTGGGATGCCTGATAGAGTGTTTGCGTTGGTTGCTCCTTTGAGGATAAGGATCATAGGGTAGAGGGGCCCTGATTCTGGATTAGTTGCTTGTTGTCCATGTTTCAAGATAATTTTTTTAGCTCTTTACCACCTTGGCTTTTTGCTCTGATTTCTTTTCTAGCATTGCTTCTGAAGATTTCTATGATTTCTCTTGGTGATCTTCCATACTCAAATCTCATCACTCAACATTTTATCTATATTGCTCTTTGCTTGGTCGATCCTTTTGATTTTGACCGAGTCTACTTATAGAAGGATGCATCGTCTAGGTGGATTCTGAATTCTTCATCTTTGTAGGGTAACAGGGGTATGAACATAAGGGAAGAGGGATGTCAACGGAGAATGATTTGGCAAAGGGGTTGATGGTGTATGTGGAATGGTCAATGGAAGAGATGAGTCTGGAGGGATAGGGCTTGGTCCATTTGCGAGGCAGGCAGTTTGAGAAGTTGAAGGGAGGAAGTGTTTAGAAGGGTGGCATAGGTTCTAGAGGAAGCCTCTCGGTTCCCATGGTTTGCTAGGTGTTACTTTTAAGCGGGTAGACGGGCTGTATGGAGGGAGGGGGGAGAACTTTAGGTTGGGGATAGGGAAAATCTTTTGACTTGGGATGGGGGCAAATTTCATTACATGTGGTTGTAGGGCGCTATTGTGTTTGGGGTGCAGAGTGGAAGGACCCTTTTTTATTGATCATAGATGCTTTGGATCGCGAGGATGGGGCAAAGGGCATTTTTGTGGTAGGGTTTGATGGATGTGCTGACAACAATGCTTTTATTGCAACTTTGGGGTACAAGGGGTATGGGATTTGGAGGCAGCTGGATGGTGAAGAAGCACATTGGGAAGACCATACATAGAAAATGGAAGATGCTCACAAAGAATATGTATTGAGAGTCAATGCACGGAGAGAACAAAGGGGAAAAGGAGAAAACATACAGACAAGAAAAGCACAATTAGAGATATGCAAGGTGGAAGGAGAAGCATAGAACATATAGGATGCACAGAGAGAAGATTTGCACTTTGCACTAAGGGAAGAAGAGTTGGGAGAAGATGCACAGAGAGATGCGGGGGGATTGGAGGAGTAGGAGCAGAGCGAGAAGGAAAGAGGGTTGCACTTGGGGGAGGACAAGCAAAGGAGAGAGGAGAGAGAGGGCATTTTGTTCTATCCTTGATGTTTGATTTGGTTGTCAGATACGGATGGAAGGCCCAGATTTCATTGAATGAATGAATAAGACTTGTTTTGTGGTGATGGGTTTATCTCCACCATTCGCTCATCTATATGGACTTTTGGAGCATTCAATTTGGTTGACAGGTCACTCATCTGACCCGAATTACTTGACCGCTTTTGGTAATGTTGTTGGAGGTTGGCTGCATGGAGCGATTTGGGTTGTCTGACATACAGTTGTTTCTCGGGCTTCTCTAGGTTAGACATTAGGGTGAGAACGGGTCGGATCTGACCAAATCCAAATTCGGATCTAAATAGTATACATAGGATCTGGTTTATATATATATATATATATATATATATATATAAATTTACTAGTAAGAAAAATGGGTGGAATCCAGATTGGATCCACCTTCACCTAGATTCGATCTAGATTTTAATTTGGATCTGGATCCGGACATTGGATCCAAATTTTGGGTCCATACCCGGATCCGAATAGGGTCCGAAATCCAGGTATCGGATCCGGATTGGGTCAATTCTTACCCCTAGTAGACATGTATAGTGGTGGTGATTGTCCGCTTGTTTGGTGTAAAAGCCAGGTGGGTGTAGGTTGCATACAAAGGAAGCAAGCGTACCCTGGTCAACTGTTAAATGGAGAGTGGTGATCGGAGGATGAGGCACCTCGAGATTGAGAAGGGATATGACTGGTATTTAAGAAAAGATTTGTTTGAGAAGCAAGAAATGGATTGGGAGGAGGGCCTAGGGAATACAAGACGGACGATGGGGATTTGGGTTGGCCCTTACACTAGACTCTCCCCTATCATGATTTAGAATTGAATTCAAATTTCAATTTGAATTTGGGAAAAAACTTTGAGATTCAATATATTATTGGCTGTGTGGGTCAATTTGAGCCATCTGAAACTGCATAGGTAAGCAAACTGGGGCAAAGTTGGGGCTTTGGCTAATCAATAGTTGACACCTGCGAAGATATTGGCTGTCTATATGGTGGGGTGTATAGGCTTTGGGGGATAACATGCAGGGGAGGCTATTGATGGTGGAGGGGCAGCCATTTGATGAAGAACTGACATAATGGAAGGTATTGATTGAGGGTAGGAGTGCCTCGGGGTGGGTGTGTGGGGTTTCAGTGAAATAAAGCATAGCGGTGGGTTGATCAGGGCCAGGTGGGACTGAAGAATGGCTGGACTCAATACCAAAGTTCAACCAACACCAGCAAACTCCGTGGATGCATGCGAGAGTCTTTTCTTGTGAAATGTTGACATTTTATTTCTAGAAGAAACTGATTACAAAAAATTGTGGCAACGCATAGCCAAGGCGCTCACAACTATGTTAACCTTTGCAAAAAGGGGTGCTAATGAAAGCAAACTGTACATGTAATAAAGTAGCTCAAAACTAAAAAATCTCAAAAGATACCGGAATCTAGTCAAAAGGTACCAAAAAGGTTCTGGTCTCGCTCCATCTTTGGCAAGGGTGTCTGCACTAGAGTTAGCCTCTTGCCAAGTATGTTGACACTAGGTGTGAATATGTCTGCATGGATAGGAAGTTCGCTCGAAAGTATGTTCAAGTCACCTAGGACAAGCAGAGTCACCCAAGGCCCATGCTGTTATGTTTTCTGATTGATGTAATTGATTGAGTCCCACTGGTGTATGCAACTCATTCTTGGATGCTATTGTTTGTCTTCCACAACTGAGAATCTTTCCCTTGTTTCTGTTCTAATATTCACAATGCACGGTTGGTTTAATTTGGATGAATATGCAGTCTTTTATGATTAAGCAAGCTTGCCATTTTTTGGTGTTTAAAATTCCACACAATATTTTTGAAAATTCAAAATTCAAAATTCAATTTAAGATTCATCTTTAATCTGACCAATATGTCATCTCTGACTATTGAGTTGGCATGTCCGTCTATAGCATTTTAGCTTTTATACAAGCCCCTGAATAATTATGATTTGTTGTTAGAGAATCTTCACTTTGATTTTCATTACTTTCCTGCAATTCTCATGCCTGCTAGTATACATGCTGCAATAGTGAGTTTATACTCCAGCAAGCCAAGTGGATTCACTAATAAATTTGGTTTTTGAGATAGAAGTTGTTTTCTTATTCCCTGGATCTCATGTATTTTGGGCTTACCTATATAAAAACAAAAGTGTCACATATTTGGGCAAATTAAGTACTGTATTCTGCTTGTTATTGATAGCTTCAAACGTATCAAAACGCCCGTCAAGGGAGGCTTGTGCAGACACCATCAGGTGAGATTTCAATATTACTGTAATGAACCTTCAGAGTAGATCTTGGAACACTTGCAATTATTTTGTTTGGGTCAGTAAATGTTCGTTGATTTCATTGAGTTGTGTTACAGTGCTTTGACTATGAAAACTACTTGAAAATCAATTCCAGAAGGCCCAGTTGGCGGTGCCCTCACTGCAATCAAGCCACCGGTTTCCCGGACTTGCGCATAGATCAAAAGATGGTCCAGGTGAAAACATATGTTTTGTGCATGCTTATTGTATAGAGTTAGAACATAGAGCAATGTGACAAGGGTTTAGGTAAAGATAAAAAAAACATCAGTAAATGTTCTCTAAAGCTACCAAAGTGGTTCTGTCTTTTTAAAGAAATTGTTGCCTATCTGCACAGACTCTCTCTCTTTCTCTCTCTCTCTCTCTCTCTATCTATCTACAACGATGGCACGGTGTTTGGTGTGTTATAGAGAACGCGTGCAGCCCAACCATTGTTTGATTCAGTAGTTCGATTGTTTGGATGGTAGTTTGTGCTTGCCATCTATCCATGTATTTTATAGGGAATAGTGATGTTGTGGATATTGTCGTTGTGGCGGGAGTCCTTTTTCTTTCACACACAGGCACACCCTCACATTTGAGGTGGTGGGGCTGTAGTGTTATACCTGTGAAAGGTAAGGCTCGGCTTCCCGCAAGGAGCAGTTTTGGCCGGAGAAGTCAGCAAGATATTTTAGTTGGTATAAATAATCCTTTTGCCGGGTGTTAGGTGTACAACTGTTTTACTTAGCTAACCTTTTTCTTTTTCAGATCTTGGGAGAGACTAGGGAAGATGTAGCCGATGTCCTCATCTCTGGAGACGGATCTTGGAAAGTTGCGACGGATGATGATGGCTCTACAGAACACATGAATGGTGGGACTCATAGAAACGACCAGGATAGTTGTGAGCATAATGTTGGTTCAAATGTTTCAAAAGACGTAGTGGATCTCACCATCGAAACGGAAGAGACCAATGAGAGGATCATTTCCATGGAGGTTGATTCTACGTCATCAAAGAATACTATCAGCCATGAGACAATCAACAATAGTAATGATTGTGAAGAAAGGAAACCTTGCCTAGAAAATCTTCAGCGCTTATCTGTCACTGAAACCCTTTCTGGGCCACCAGTTACCAATACGGCACGTCAGGCAAGTCAGGTAGCTGATTACCAATCTCTGCAGAACTTCTGGATGAGAGCACTTTTAGCTTCAGCTTCTATAGGTCCTAATGCTCCTGTCAATGTTGGGGCTGTCTCTCGAGTTGGGGTATCGGAATCTCTCGGAAGCCCTGTTGCTGGCAGTGTTTCAAGAGTTGGGGTATCTGAATCCCTTGGAAACATTGTCTCTAGAGTTGGTGCATCTGAATCTGTTGGAAACCCTAGTGTTGGGAGTGTCTCTAGAGTTGGGGTACTGGAATCGGTAGGAAACCCTGTTTTTGGGGATGTATCTAGAGTTGGGGTACCAGCAATGGTGGCACCTGTTCTCACTGATGCCATTTCCCCTGCACCTAATCGTGAACCCTTGGACACTCAGGTTTTAGCACAAGCCTCAAGTTCATTTCAGAGTGTGCCAGTGCCTCAAGGAAGGCAACTTTTGCCTACTGAGAACTGTGATGTTGTTAGTCAGCTTAGACAGCTGAATGCTGGTATAGTTGGTGATACTCATAGGATTCCTAGAGTACACAGAACACCCATAGCAATTCAAGCCTTGCCTGCACAGTCTCAAGGCGCAAAATCACTTCAAAGGATGAGAGGAAGTCTTCCAAATTCAAGTTCTGTGGCACTCAATACTTCCAGCTCTCCGAATAGTTCTCTTTCGGGTCCTTTCGGGACAGCAACTGTAGATGGTGTAGATGCAACAAATGTTGGCATGGAACGGCAGCATTTTTCTTGGCAGCAAATTAATGCCCAGGGAGTTGCGGATGTGGCTGCAGCACCTACCTTGCAGTTGCAATCGATATCACAGGTGAGGTTTTCTTTAGTTTCTTTGTTTCATTGAGGGGGACAGAAAATACTATATGCTTTAAAAGGAATATGCCCATAAAGGTGGATGAAATGTTGAGAAAAATATGATAACCTACCAAATTCTCTTATTGTAACGTCACGAATGCATTCACACACTCAGTCATGGACACTCACCTCCAGTGACTCATACATCAGAATGCATTTTGCTTATGTTGTATTCAGGAGGAGGACTTTCCATCAGTGTGTTTTGCATTCAGTAATGTCTCTATTGTGTCTGAAGGAAAATCATGTATTGATTTTAATCTTTTGTTTTTGACTAAAAGAAATTAGTTGTTTTTATGCCTTGCTTTCTATGTATATGTTTGCACAATCTTGTCATGGAAATCATAATCTCCAAACTGCATACCAAACCCTAACATGGTATCAGTTGGTTAAATACAAGGGAAATAAGCGGAAAATTGGAGTTTTTACATACCCTAGCTTCGTACTGAGTCAAAATTCTGATATTCACAGAATTTTGAAGTTTTGAGACTTTGCCTCCCCTGCCACCAGTTAGTTTGGTATGTTGAAATTGAGCCAAAACAACCAAAATGCACGAGGCTTGCAAACGTTTTTCACAATAACGAGGAAAAATCTGCTCATGACCTGTCTGCTAAGTGCCTTACAGTAGTCTCTTAGCATCATTAATGATTGTTTGAATTCTACTCCTGTGTGATTTGGAAATATCATATTCTCTATTTTCAAATAGTAGATCAACCTTGCACAAATCACGTGTGAGAAATATGTTGACAATCGAAAGTGTGGAAGGTCTCTAAGAAGTAAAGACGGGGTTGAAAAACTAGAAGCTAGTTATTTTGTTAGTAATGAATGGCATTTATATTCTCTTACCTGCACGCAGATGATTGACCTAGGCTTATGCTGGGAAACGTATCAAACTTGATGTTGTTCATAGCTGAAACGAAAATGTTACTGTTGTTTACACTTTACTGTTACATCCTAACTCCTGTTGTAGGTAGAATTGGTCAAATTCAAAGAAAAAATAAATCGAACAAATTCCTATCTTGAGTGCCACTAGGATTCACTCCAGAACTCTGCCCAAGATCACTTTTGTGCATACACCCACTGTCCTGGATACAGGGCCTGTATCTAGGGGTCAAAACCCTTTCACTTCGAACTCATGTGGCTTGAAGACACCAAGCTGCACACTTCAATCTTGCATTGTGGTCTACTTTTCTAGTCAGTTGGTAGTCTCAGGGCAAAGGAGGCCCATCTTCAGGATATATCTGATCCAGACTCCCTTGAAGAGTCAAGAGTCCTTTCCTCCTTGGATAAGGGCCTAGAGGCGCTGGAGGAAAAAATTGAACTCAGTTAGGTGGTGAAAAAAGAAGAGGTCTATTGGTACCAACAGTCAAGAATTAAATGGAAGGTGGAAGGCCATGCAGTGCTTCAAAAAAGGGGCTGCCCAACACTTAGGCGGGTGTCTAGGTGCCCAAAGGGCCCTTGGCTGCATGCCTAGGCTTGAGCGGCCTTCTCTGGGCGCCAGTTCTTGGGCACCCACCAAGCGGCCGAGGTGGGCTCCCAAGGCTTGTGCCCTTTTGACTGAAAGAGTAGAAAATCCTGTGAGGGCAATTTGGGTCCTTTTGACCCATGAAATAGAGTGACAGGGGTGCTTTGTGGTATTCTGCAACCAAAGGGAAAAAACTCAAACCTAAACCCCAAAATCTCCCCAAATCAGTTGATATTGCAAACATTTTTTAGTAAAAAAAAAGATAGTTAAGTTTGAATAAACATCCAAAAGCTTACCCTTTCTTGTTGGAATTATTTTTAGTCTTATACTCTTATTGGAGAAAGTGGAAGGCTCTAAAAGGGCAAGGGGAAGGGCCCCAAAAGACATTGATGGAGATAGTAGGAAAAGGTATGGTGACTTTTTGTATTAAAGGTATGGTCCTTGATAGTGGAATAGCATAACACGAGTTGTGTATCAGACATCAAATAGTTGGCATAAGGCTTGGATGATTATAATGATGACGATGATGATGCTCTTATTGGAGACTTGGAGTCTATGTGACTATGTCTATATGTGTGTAACTGTGCGTCATGATTGTATGCCATTATGGAGTATGGAGAGTTGGAGACTAATATGCTATGGACTTTCTTATGTTATTCACTAAAGTTTCAATAATTTGAAGTTTTGAATGTGTTTCAACAGTCATGCATATATATGTTCATGAAAGAAGTTAGAACATATAAAAGAAAGAAACAAAATTACAAAATTGACATAAATATCTCCATATATGTGTGTTTGGACAGCACGTATATACATATATCTGAAAATTTTTCACTCTAGGTGCTTGAGGTCCTTGGTGCTTGCCTAGGAGCTGGGATCTAGGAGCCAAGGCGTAGGGGCCGCCTAGCATTTTCTGAAACATTGAGACCATGACATGTCGTTTCATAAAATATCTAATTGTAAACAAAGGTAGGACCCAAGCCTCCAGTTAACAGAAGGGCATTAAACCTACTCGGCCCCAAAACAACTGAATAGCACCATCATTCACTTCTTTGAGAAGTTATTTACTATTGAAACTTAGATGAGATCTAGCTTCACCAACTTGTGCTTCAAAACTCTCTCTCGACACCAGGCTGCTTCCTTGAAGTCACTTCCAGAACAGGAAAATGGAAGAGTTGTAGCAGAGCTGGGGAAGGATAGGGCCCTGGGCCCTGACGGTTTTTTGGTTACAATTTTCAATCAATTTTTAGGATTTTTACCAGATTTACTGGTTTTCTTCTCCGAGTTTTGTCACTGAGGCCTCACCCAAACGGGGATGAATTCCATGTTCATTGCCCTTGTCCCAGAAATAGAAGGCGCATCTGAAACCAAACATTTAAGGGCATTTTGCATGTACTTACAAAATTCTCATTAAATTCATGGCCAGCACCCTTTGGGAAGTTCTTGATGATAGCATTTGTTGAACTAGGCCATTTTTAGTCAAAGATCGAAAAGGCCTTGATGGGGCCTTGATCTTCCTTGGCTTGGTCCCCATATTTGACTCGTAAAAGACCTATGACCTAATGTAGGCAGCTTTGTGAGCAGTGTGGCTTCTGCAATGCACAACGTTTTGCTTGTAGCTCAAAAATGGGCTTGTTAGTACTCTATAGAAAGCTCCTGTAGAGCTCAATGTCATCTAGCTTGTTTCGCCAGGTGTTGTGGCAGCTACAGTAGTGGCTTGAAATTCCAGATTCAAGATGCTGTTGATCTTATTTCCAGTATTCAATCTTGATGAGGCATATCAAATTTGCATTAAAGGCTGAGGTGAAGTTGAAGAGAAGTATTGTTGTTCGCTTCTTTGACTGAGGTTGCTTTTGGCCACTGAAAGGGTGTACTGCTAATTATAAGGGTATAAGGTTTCTATTTTCCACCCAAAAACATGATGTCTGATTTGTGGAATGGATGACTCAGATTAAATATCTCTCACCCTCCTAAATATCCTAATGATATCGCTGGAAAATAAAGAAAAGGCATACCTAGCTGGAGTCGTACTTCAAGTGGGACATAGATTTATTCCTATTTAAACAAGATTTGAACCCCTTCTCTCTCTCACACACCCCAATTTTCTCTCCCTCTTTCTCCTTTTTCTCCATGCCACTATTCTCTCTCTATCGCTCTCCCAGATTTTAAGTCACGTGCCTTCGTTCTCTTTACCTCATAGGGAGGCACACCATCCTCTCTCCTCTTATGTGGGATGTGCCAAACTAAAGAAAAAAAGAGGTGGTGCCATAGTGAAACTCTAGAGCTAGGGTTTGCTATATTTTGAAGAAAGAAGGGAGAAGCCTAGTCTAGAGAGAGATGAACTCACAAATTCTGCCCTACTTTGTTCTTATAGGGTTGTAGAAGCCCTAGTTAAGTTTTTGAGTTATCTAAAATCCTGGATTGAAAGATATTGCTTGAAAAGCTTCCCATCTCATAATTTTCAGCAACACCTAAAGGACTAAAAGTGCACCATTGATCAGGGAATTGGGTGTTGGGTGGATCAAGACCTGTGAAGATAACTCCAAGCACCTTCTATTAAGTTTTCCTAGTAGATTTAAATTTTTTTTTAGTCATATTTAATATTATTTTGTGAATATTTGGGTACATATATTGTACTCAAAACTATAGTGGAAGTTTTTTTATTTCTCCTGGATGTTTTTTATTTGCTTTGGCACTGAAAATAAAGATCCTATATTGTATCTAGGGTATTAATTGTGATTTATAGCAACATGTATTGGCCCATGTAGGTGGAATTCAGATATATTAAATAAAAGAAAAGAAATTTTTTTGTATTTAATATCTTGAGTTCCACATAGCCACTGCTTGCACTACAACCCTTGAAAGAGGATGCAGATGTCTATGGTCAATTGACTAGTAAAAATTATGAGGGAGGTGTTGTGGTTGGGACCATTTTGTGGCCCAAAAATGCACTTCGTTAAATGGTCCACTGTGTTCAAGGCCAAGAAAGCTGGAATTTGGGTTTCAGAATCCTTAAAGATATGAACACTGCCCTCATATCTTTAATATATCCCTCATTCGAGTGCAGATGTCTATAGTGAATTGACTAGCAAAATGATGAGGTACTGTGGTTGGGGCCATGTGGTAGCCCAAAAACGCACTTACTTAAATGGTCCAGTGTGTTCTAGTCCAAGAAAACTGGAATTTGGGTTTCAGAATCCTTAAAGATATGAACACTGCTCTGCTATGCAAGTGTCTTTGGCGCTTTGCTACCCAAGAGACTTACCTGTGGATGAAGGTCACCCAGCAATATGGTCCACTTCTTAGAAATGGTGCTCTCAGCATAGACTCCCTTGGCTCCTAAGGTTTGGTTGTTACCAAAACGTGGGGAAAGCATTTGATGTGACTAGACACCTGGTTGAGAGACTCGTGCATCAATGATCAGTTCCGATCTTTGTTCTCAGTGTCCTCTAATCAACCATGCTTTATTGTGAAGGATATGGAATTATTGCAGAGCCACCAAGTTTGGACCCCAAGATTCCAAGGTGATTTCAATAATGAGGAACTGCTTGAACTAGAGAGGCTACTCCCTACTCTTCAAAGCTTTATCCTGCCTGGGTTTGAAAGGGATAAATTCGTTTGGTGCCCTGCCCCATCTGGTCCATTCAGCATCTCTTCTTTCAATCATAATCTCAGGAACGAAGCTCCTACCAACACGGTGGTCAGTTGGGCCTGGTTTCGTCCTGCCCCAATCAAAATCCTGCTGTTTGGATGGCTGGCAATACAAAAACGGATGCTATTAGGGGACCAGCTACGAAGTGTGGCTTCAACATGTCTAATTGATGCCTCCTTTGCAAAGACCGCAAAGAGATGGTGGACCTCATTTTCCTCCATTGCCCTGTGGTAGGGCACATTCGGAGCCAATGTTTAGAACTGTTTAGGGCAGAATGGGTCATGCTGGAAACCCTTGAACAACATTTCGGGGCCCATTTCTTGCGCCCACTACCAAAGGCTACACTTTGGAGGGTCTCAATCCTTGCTTTGTTAATGTATGGCTAGAGCATGACAGAAGAACCTCCAAAAGCTAGAAGAGAACAATTCTAAATGTGAAGAAGAATATCAAAAGTGCTGTAAATGAATGGGCAAGACAGCTTAAAGTTTTCAAAAGTTACACGACCTTGAACTTCCTACTAAACTGGGATGCCATAGTTAGATCTGGTAGGCACTCTAACACATGGTCCTTGTGCTGGTGACTGCCAGAACAGGGCACCATCAAGTTAAACATTGATGGGTGTTCACTTGGTAACACAGGGAGGAATATTTAGGGAAAGCTAGGGATCCTCACTTTTATCCTTCTCGGGGCCCATCGCTACTGCTACCTCATATATGGTTTAGGCATTTGCCCTCCTACAGGTAAGAAGCTATTTGATGGAATCTATAGTACCTCTTTAATTGTCATAGCGGATTAAGAAAACACCATCAATTGGGCCAATAGGGTTCTATTTGCCCATGTTATCTGGATCAGATTTTTTAGGAGATATTTTTTATTAGGACCTAACTTAACGTCGGTTCTCATCATACTTGGTGAGAGGCGAATAGCACAATGGATGGCTTGGAACAACAGGGGGCTCTCAACACATCACTAGTCTTAATTCCTCCTTGTGATTTTATCTGCAATTTTTTGTCTTTCTGGTTGCTTAGTCCTTTTGCTAGACTGAGCAGCCTCCTTTTATGTAGAGGCTCTTTCCAATTTTGTACACAACAAACAGTATACTGCAATTGGTATATGTATCAGTTTACATGCCTATTTCAAACAGTTACCCCTACTAATATATATATATCATCACTGCCACATTTTCTCGTTCCTCATTTTGATTCCACCTACAACTCTTGTTTTCCTCAAATTCCATATACATACTGAAAGTTTTCTGATTGCTTTTTTTGTCCTACTACCTTTTGTATCAATGAATTTTACATGCTTTAGAAGTTTACTCCCCAAACTTACTTGGATATTCTCTCTAGAAATGTGAACATTTTCATTAATTTCTATGCCATATTGCAACTGTCTAACCTAAAGATCTTGATTTATAATCCAACAGAATCGTCCAGAGCAATCATTCCAACCAGTTGTCAGTCTTCAAGCCCCGATCCAACACAGCACCCGAAGCCATCAACAGAGTCCTTCAGAGCAATCTCTTCCTAATATTGTTGGCTTGCAAGCCCCAATGGTAATTGGCACCCGAAACCCATTGGAGCAGCAAACAAGGCTCCATCAAAGCTCTCCTTACCCAAAACTGACTCTTCAAAACCCATATCAGTGGCCACCCCATCAAATCTTAAATCAATCTGAGCCCTTCCAAAGACAAATCCCACACCATACATTCCACACTCCACAATCCAAATCGAGCTCTGGTATAGGAGCAACCATTTCGGCGGCTGGTATTCCCACCATTAACGCACCCCTTCTCTCACAATCCCAATCAAGTGGTGGCATGGCAGCAACTATTTCGGCAGGTTGTTCGCCCAATGTTAGCTCACATCCTCTTATTTCCAATCGTTCAAGGCCAAAATCGTTCGTTCCTATAAGGCCCTCCGCCCCTTCTCTTCAAAGAAGCACAGAGAGCTCTAGGTTTCCTATTAGTGAGCAAAGATGGAATGTGCAGGTTCAATCGGCGACAAGGCCTGAGGAGTTGATATCTGAGCAGAACTGGAGACCCAGTGGTAGGATGAGAGGGAGCCTGAACATGACCCAGTACTTTGCTCAGAGCTCTGTATTGGGATCAGCCACATCACCACCTGCCTCCACAAGTCAACAACAAATGGACAGTCTCCATGCTGAACAGAGATCCCAGCCCTACTTGTGACCTAGTTATGATGATATCAATGAGCTGGTGTCTTTGGGTAAGAATGATATAGGCATTCATTGTTCTTGTTTTTTTCCTGACGATCCGTTTTTTATGGACGTTCATGTGCATATGGGGTGGATGCAATGTGGAGCCATTGTGATGTGAATAGTTAATTTGTCTTGCATGCTTAAAGTGTTCCAGTGGATTTCTTTTTTAATCAAGATCTGGGGTTTGGTGCTGAGAAATTGCCAAACTTCAGGAAGTGATGTGTCCTATTCAGACGTGCACATCTTTTTAGTGTGATGCAGAGGTTTTTCTTGTATCCTCTCTCCCATCGAGGGCGATTGTGTAAAGCACTCTAGTTATTTCACCTCTGTGATCAATTGTTCGAGCAATCTGTGGCTATGATGTGATGTTTTGACAATGGATGTCAGATATAAATACCCTTGATATGATTAAAATGTGAAACTGTGGCGAATGTAGCTGGTAATTTTTGTTGGTTATTGGTTTTGATGGAGGCTTAACCCAGAGTTCTAATGGGTCTTGTGCATTTCAGAACTGTTGTTGGGTTTTGGGAAACTCGTTTTAATTAAGGAGGCTATAAAAATTTTTAGTATTCTTTTGCTTTCGATCTATTTGATGGTGGCTGTCTTTTTTTTGTCTGTTGTTTAAATAGGGCTTATCCCTTTAGCCATAATACTCCGGTTCTGCATATGGATATCTTGGATTTCCACTCATCATACATTAATCTATTTCTGGTCTTTTATCTGCGTGGCCATTCTTCCATTGGAGTCCTGTATTAACCAGGTTTATGAACAGCTTTGAGATAAGATGCTGGTTTTGTTTTTTTGGAACTATTAAGATGCTGGTTGAGTTAAGATGCTGGTTTTGTTCTTCTATTCATCTTTTTAGCGAGAAGGTAAACCTTTTTATCCTTGTGACGTGTCTTTTTTATTTTCGGTTTTATTTTTTTTAGTTTTACATTATAGCATTATTACCTATTGTTCTGTATTGTTATCTTCATCATTCAAAACTATCTACATCTTTGTCTCAATTTTTATCTCCACAATACTCTTTATATATACATATTTACAGTTTAATTTAAGGGTTGTATACTATAAGATCATTTATCTTTGTTATAAAGGTAGATGTCAAATTGGATGATTTGTGTTGTCATGAAGTTCGAGAAATCTTTTTCTGAACTTTTGAGTCTAGTAGCACACTCCCTACTAGCTGATTTGAAATCTAATAGAGAAGAGTGCTTGTGACATCTTTCTACTAAAAGGCACTGGTCTCTTTATACACTTCTCCTTTTATTTTGTATGTATTATTTGTCCCACTATCTCTTTATCACAATCTATATCTTCTCATCACATTAAGTAGTACAATTTCTCTTTACAACTGTATTTCTGCGTCCCAATCTGTTTATGAAAGTTATTTCATTAATTTTCCAAACTCTCCAACCAACCGATATCCAAACTCTCTTTTCTTGGATCTTGACAATGTTATTTTACAGTGAGATCTCATATTTTGTCTCTAATTTGATGCAAGTGTTGAACAGTAGTTTTCATGGGAGGTATGCTTTATTTGGATTAGTTTAAGGTTGCAACTTTATACAAACCACACCTTTTATATTTTATTAAATAATAACTATTAGGCATAAAAAGATAATATAAAGCTAGTTTCAATTTAGAACAAAGGAACGATGTTCAATGAAATAAATGAGGTTGCGAATTAATCCTCTAAAAAAGTTTCTTGTCATTAAAGTCAATAAAAATAATCTACAAAACAAATATCTTAATAGATACAAAAATATGACTATGTAAAGCAATTTCTAAAAAAAAAATGATTATTTCTCTATAGATCTTAGCTATAACTCTAGATTTTCCTAGACGCGAAGGAAAATAAGTAGAATGACATTTAATATATCAAAACAAAAAACAACACAAGATAAACAATAAAAATTATATTTATAACCACAATATGATACTAATAATAAATCACTTAAAATTGACTAGTAATATTCATGTGTGTTGCATGTGATATTTAATATTAATCACTAAAATATATTTATCATTACAAAATATTTTCAATAAAACATGGTCTTAGATATCATTAAATTTATCCTCACATTTGAATAACTTTGTTAAATAATTATAGATTTGATATTAAATATTATTTTAACATAATATTTGCAACAACTTGAGAAGAGTATAATTTATTTAAAACCATGAAAGAAAGAAATAATTCAGATATACTATTTGTGATAAAATAAGGTCAGAGGGTGACCATAAAATTTTAAATGCTATTTTAAAAACATGAATAAAGAGAGACATAGTGCAAATGAAAAATAGTGAAAAAAGCTAGAGGAGATGAAATCAAAATTCATAATTAAGAAATAAAAATTACTTAAGTGTCTCAAAAAAAAAAGAATTAAATCTTATATATATATCATCACATATTTTTTGTTAAAAATATAATATTGTGATTACAAAAGGAATGTAATTCAGATATACTATTTGTGATAAAATAAGGTCAGAGGGTGACCATAAAATTTTAAATGCTATTTTAAAAACATGAATAAAGAGAGACATAGTGCAAATGAAAAATAGTGAAAAAAGCTAGAGGAGATGAAATCAAAATTCATAATTAAGAAATAAAAATTACTCAAGTGTCTCAAAAAAAAAAGAATTAAATCTTATATATATATCATCACATATTTTTTGTTAAAAATATAATATTGTGATTACAAAAGGAATGTAATATTCAAATAGACAAAGATTTTAAATATAAAAATGGGAAATGATCATATGTATTTTCAACACACTGCTTTAAGATGATTTTAGATTGAAATCATCCCTCCACAAGTTAAACCCATTCAGCATGTCACCTTCAAGTTTATCAAATTTTCCCTTAAATCTTTTTACCCACAACCATAAATCCTGCACTTTTCTTCTTCCTTTAAACTCACACTTTCTCTGTATTGGGTAATTAACTCGCGCTCTCTCTCTCTTTCTATTTTGGGTAATTAACTCATGCTCTCTCTCTTTATAGAAACACCTCCATTTATTACAAGTAAACTCACGATTTCTCTGTTTCGGGTAGCATTCTCAGACTCGGCCAAGTAACTTGGCCTTGCTCTACCAACGAAGCAAGTATTAGGGGAGTAGGTGGTACATCATATTTTCTAGTTTAATTACAATAATACTTAAAGCTTTAATTAGATGCGTTAAAGTGGTGTTTCAGTTAGTGCTGACCCATACAGTTCGAGCATGTAAGCGTTTGAATCCTATGATAGACCCCTTTTTCACAACTTTGAAAAAGTAATTTTTTTTGAGTTTTTTAAACATAAGTAACCCCCAACATAATGGAGCTTGATACCTCAACACTTTCAAAACCACTTTTTTTTATTTTGTTTTGAGCTTTAAAAAAAAGTAACCCCCAACATAATGGAGCTTGATATCGCTTGCAGAGAGGTCTGTTTTTGCAAGGAGCGATAACTACAAGGATAATCACAAAACCAATCTATTGCTAAAGTGATAAATTGTGGCCATCATAATATGTGTATATGAGTTGGGTGTACTTTTGTCTTATATAAGACTAGATATATTCTAATGAACCTTTGATGAATATTGAGTTATGAATGACCCATGAAGAATTATTAATATACTTTGCCTTGAAAGTATATTACTTAGTCCTAATGCAAGACTAAGAACGACCACTTGAGGACATGCAACAAACATACGATGGATGACACCTTTAGTAGATGGTCAAGAATAAGGGTTGTTCTTAATGACATCATTCTAGTGTGCCCATTTGATGATATTTTAAGTGTGGCTTAGTCTATGAGTTTTGAGATTCAAGAATAATGCAGTCTCAACGGCAGTCTTAAAGCTACCAAGAGATGGCTTAACCCATCTCAGTCTCAATGGCAGTCTTAAAGCTACCCAGAGATAGTTTAACCCATCTCAGTCTCAACGGTAGTTTTAAAGCTGCCAAGAGATGGCTTAACCCATCTCATTCTCAACGGTTGTTTCCAGCTGCCCCGAGATAGCTTAACCCATCTCAGTCTCAACGGCAGTCTTAAAGCTGCCTAGAGATGGCTTAACCTATCTCAGTCTCAACGGTAATCTCAAGCTTCCCAGAGATGACTTAACTCATTTTAGTCTCAACGGCAGTCTTAAACTGTCCAATTATGGCTTAACCCATCAACATCATTGTCCGACACTTAATCCTTTAAAAGCTTTACGGTTCGTATGACATTCAGTTACCAACGGGGAAATTTCTCCCTCAGTACAAGAAGTTCTCTCATAAGATCAACACTATTGAACTCTTTCCTCCTTGCCTTATCACACTTAAAAAGTGTAGCATGGATTGAGTGGAACAACATAAGTGGTTGCAGCCCACTGACAACACTGACGAATCCCCGATTTTTCTCTAGCAAGATCATGAGATTCGAAAGTTTGAAATTCAAAGACAAGTGCCAGCGATTGTATATGCATGAATGCCCACCAGTGAGATCAATAACATGAAAAGATAAACACAAGAGGTAAACAACATTATGAAGATAAGGACTACTAATTGCAAAATCTTTGATTCAAATGAATGGATCAATCCAAGATGAAGTTGGAGGGTGAAGATTCAAATATGTGAAATGCATGGTTATCCCTTGAAAAACTATAATTTACCAGTATAAAAAGGGGACTTCTTAATTAAAGTGGGGTCGTACATCTTCGGATAGACACAACTAAGTAGAGATAAAGTGTTCTTGTGAGGTTCTGCCTCAATAAGAACTAATAGTAGAAAAGAGAGTGAAATATTCAAGACAGAGAGATAATTGTTTCCTACGATTCATTTGAGACCATTCTCTTAGGAAGACCAGACTTGAAGGATAACACCCCTACGTACATTCCACAAGTATATGGGCCGATGTGCCCTCGATTTTATCTTTTTGCTTTTGATATGTATGTGTATTTTCTTCATTTTGAAACGAATGTATAGGTTTCAAGGCCAGAATCAAGGTTTTCGGCTTATTTTCTTTACTTCAGTCAATGTAAATTGTAATAGAGGATTAAAATTTTGGAATTATTCAGTACTCAGTATAAACATAAAGCTTGTGTTTCTGATATGAAGTGCATGGGTGAATTTTGCCCCAAATATGATATCATCTGGTTTTCTATTTGGAGTCTAATGTTTGTCTAAATATTCCCCATTTAAGCATCCACATTTTGTAGAGTCCAAATCTCTGACGACTCCATGGGGAGCAATTGACCTTTCATCTCTTGTAGAGTCTAGGAAGTCGAATTTCTCTCTCTAAGATATGTCTTGATTCACAATGTTTTCCACACTACTTTTGTTTCTTTTTTATTTACCCTAACGAGTGAACCCCTGCATTAATCACATGTCGTCAGAGGTAACAATGGCTGCAGTAATGACATCCTTTTAGGTAGGAGCCATGGAGGTTCTGCTGCACTCCTCCCTAACTAGGGGCCAATATGCTTTCACTAAAG